AAGTTCACTTGGTGATGAAAGTAATACAGGGATTAATTTTCCTCTCAAGTCCCCAGCATATTCAAAATTCTAAAAATTAACAGCATTTATAAATGTAATGACTTTATAAACATTAAAGCATTACAACATCCATATGCACTAAGATAGATAGCCTTGGGTGGAAATTGTTCCTTTGTTCAGACTGTGCTTTGCTCATGTGCACTATTTTCCTTCAGAGGTTTAAGTTTGATGCTCTGTTCATCAGCTCTTGCACCATGCTCTTTTCTAGTAGGCTGTGATCACAGGGCTGGTTAATTTCTTTTGAACTTCATGAAATCCTACAATGTGAATATCCCTAGAACTATAAGATTGGATTGTATTCTCTTCCAGAACAGTTCTGATAGAAGCAGCTGTGTTAATTTTAGTTACCTGTATATCTGTTCTGCAGTAAACTGCTTTTATATTCATTAGATAAATAGTTCCTTTTTTGCTTTCACTCTTTTTTCCCAATGAAAAAATGTCCCTTCCTCGGTACTACATATTCACTTCTTTAGATAACACTTTAGTATTACTACCACTAATTTGTGCTATGCGTAGGTATTCTTGTAAAGCAGAAATAAAAATCAACTGAACCCAACAATTAATAATTTAAAAAGTACACATACAAGAGTAGGGTACAATTTTTTTAAAGGAGAAACTGAAGGCACTGCTACTGTATAAATGCAGAAACTTAGTTTGAAAAAGTGTGTGAAAAGATATGCTTTAAAAACAGGTAGGGCTATTCAAAACTGGATTAAAGACTTTGTAGACCCTAGTCCCTTCCATGCAGATTCCATATAGCATGAAGGACCTGGTCATGCCTCATCTTGGAAGTTAGCAGGTCAGGCCTGTTTGGAATCTGGATGGGGGACTTCAATGTTGTGAACCACCCAGAGAGCTTTGAGTATGGGTGGTATCGAAATATTAATAATAATTATTATTATCCTCCAGGATAGATAGATATTTACACTGTATAGGACTAGTAATTATAGATCTGTACACAGGGTTGGTGAGTGTGTTACCTTGGGCTGGTGGGATATAGCCCTATAAATATACTAGTCTTCAAAATATTCACAAGGAACCCCAAAACAATGTGTGAATTTCCAGATGCTCCTCCATATGAATATCTTTTCATTTACATATACCAGGAATTTCTGGTCCTTCTGACCTAAGTTGCCACCAATTGCACTTATATAGCAGAGCTAATCAGAAATGTTGCTATGGTGGTTCAGAGAAGTCCTATCCATTGTCACCAGGTGAGGGAAAAATGCCAAACCATTTCCCTTTATGTTTTGCTCTATCAATTTTCTAGCACGCTGACATAGTAGGTCATCTGTACTAATTAAAAAGATTTAGCAAGGCTAAACCTTAAAAGCTTTGCCTAGGTATTCACTAATGCGAATGCTGCTACCTAAGAACACATGCTCTCCTACTATGAGAAGATGATACAATATAAACAACTGAGAACCTCTTTTGTTATTCATTTATGCAGTTGGTATGGATAATACTGACTTGGGTTTGAGTACCAATGACCAGTTTTGCACACAGTCCTTATGTATCCTATAATGATATATTCTGTCATTGACATGGGCAGACAGCAAGCAGCATATAACATTCATAGTAAAAGGTTTGGTTAATAGACACCTATCCATTAGATCTCAAGCATGCATTCACAAATGAATTTCTGTTGCTCTCATTTATGTATTCAGACAGGAAATCTGTGTCTGAAATGATAGGCTAGTGTCAAGTTTTCCAAATGGTTAGCTATTGGGTAGAAAAACTGTCTTCGCTTATTTTCAACTGAGAATGATCTTTTGCATAAAACTGACAAAAATGAAATTCTCAGATTTAATCTGTGATTTTGCTAACAAAAAGAGCTACTATGTTAATATTTAATTGACATTTACTTAGGATATATTATATAGAAGTATAAGTAAACTGCTAAATCAGACAACAATCTTCTTCAATTGAATACGATCTTTTTGTGGGATCCCAAATTTTGTAGGTCCTTGGGAGTATTGTAAACCCTAGCCTCTGTGGCTAATCGATCATCTCTCTGGACTTGTCTGTTTGATTCACATAGGAAGCTGTCTTTTATCCAGTCAGACTATTGGTCTTTGTAATTCAATATTGCCAGCACTGACTGGAAGAGACTTTCTTGGGTTCCAGGCAGGATTCTTTCCAGGCCCTATCTAGGGATGCTGGGGGTTGAACCTGGGATCTTCTATATGCAAAGCAGGTACTTTGCCCTGTGCTTTAGTCCTATTCCTTTTATTCCTTAAATTTTGACAGGACAAAAGTTCTGTGTTCTTTTTTGCATTTGGTAAGTTGGAAGAAGGATAGAGAAAATTGGCACTGAAATGATTTTTGAAATGTGTCCCAAGGTGTGCAGTTGGAGATGTACAATTTAATCCTCTATCAGTTCAATAGGTTTTAGTCCTTGGTAAATGTGCATAGGATTACATCCTAAATCTGGTCTGAAAAGTGAAAAGACTTAAAAGGAAGCAATAGGTTTATAGGACAGGGAAATAAAGGAAGGCTCTCCATAAGTATGACTATGATATCACCCTCTTAAACAGTAGAATTTATTATTAGTAAATTTACTATTATTGCCTTTTCACTTATTTGTTGTCTATTGATCTACTGCAGAAGTGTAGATTGTTTGGGGGAATTATAGAGAAAATGGAGTTTCATTGATTAGGTAATTTGATCAATGGAAAGAACTTTCTCAGTTGTATATAGAAATTGTTGTTTGATAGCAAAGTGCTTTAATATTACTATAAAAGATTAAAGTTCTGTTCCAATTGTGAATCTGTATAAACATTTGGTGTTCATGGAAATTACCAAGTCCAGGCCAATGGTAAAGAGGAGAGGGGAGGAAGAAAATAGTTAATGCAGGTCTCAGCCTCCTTGCACTGCTTTTTCATATTTTCTATATTAAAATGAACAGTGGAAACATACTAAAATAAAACAGGCTTGGTACAATAAATTTTAATCTGTATTAATGAATGTTATTGCTACCTATTTACTGCTGACTGAGAGCTGTGGATTCTTCTGGAAACAAAAAAAAATATGGATGGGTGAATTGAATACATGCATTACTTACTTTCTTGTTCATTCTAAACTTACTTTACAGCACAATCATATACAAGTCTGATCAAAAGCTCCATTGAGTTTAGTACAATCTATTTCCAAGTGTGTATACGATTGCAGCCTTCAGTGCCTGAAGAATTGTTGTAAGCCACTTGCAGATTGTCTCCCTAGTGATATTTTGCACTCAAGGTGCAGAGTTAATTAACCGCTCTGAACACATCACAGAGTCTTGAATGCAAACAGTGGTCACAAGGGGATGTTGGGTGTTGCTCAGGAGCCAGGTAGACCCATGTAAGGTTTTTTTTAATGTATGAAAAGATCAGCATGTTCATTATGTAGAAGTAGTAGTGGTGGTTTCATTCGGTTAGTAGCCTGGTTTGCTTTGCTCTGGTGTTTTTATTGCTCTGTTGCTTAGACAGGGAAATTAGTCATAAACCATTATTTGCAGCAGTGTTGTTTCTACTGTTTTATTTCTGATTCTGTAAAGTTTGCCAAATCTTTCATTTTTGGAATTCTATCCTGCTTTGTTTAGCAGCTTCTGCTAACAAATAACTGCATAGCTGCTATGGTATTTTGGTTAAATTATATTTTGCTTGATCATTCAAGTTTTGTATGTCTTATTGACGGTAGTGTAACTACAGTGTAAATCTCGGAATAATTAGTAGTAAACTCAACCAAGTTCCTTTTGTCCCCTCAAATAACAGCAGCATATAAATAAGCTCCATAAAGAGGCCAGGTGGATTGGTTAATATTGTGCCATTGTTGATGAATTCAGAAATCATATCCTCAAAGGGATCAGGTTCCCCATGTATGCTTTGTAAGAATTTGTTTAATTATTCCCCTTCATAGTGTAGTTCCTTTGTTCTTGCTGATCCTTATGTAGCCAAAACACCTTCCTCTTGTGTGTAGATGTGTCATCAGCAGGCTTAGGGGAATCTGAAATTTGTGGAAGTATTAAAAAAAGTGTTTAGGGAAACCCCTAAAAGATCTCAAAACAGCACAGTGAGGACTAAGCATATTTAGTGGCTAGGGAATACTGAGAGTCTATTTGAAAAGAAAGCTGGGGGAAGTGGGTGATGGTATTGGCTGGTTGAAAGTTGCAGTTGAAAAGAGGGCATGGACATGGTTGCCTGGAAGGCTCTGAAACTCTGCTGATCAGCTAGGAGAGGGTAGTCAGCAGAGAAGGCTAATTTGAATGATGTATATGTAGAATGGAGAGGTAAAGTAAATTCTGTGTGGGCCTCTTCCGCCATTCTCCTTTGCTTTTTCCTCTCCTTCCCTTCCCTGTGTAGAGAAAAGTAAAGGAGCCCAGAAAAAGAGACTTGAGGGAGAAACACACAAATATAAAATTTCAAAGAGAATTTACTTACTATCTGGTTAGGTCATTTTCTGTTGCACACTGAGAATCTATTTTTAAGCGTCTTTGTGTGTTGAAATGAAAGTTGTCCACAGTGCCCCTTGATCTTGATTGAACAGCTAAAAGTTTGAATAACATCCATATACCAGGGATATACTGTGATCATTTTGTTCCAGAGCCTTGCTTGTATCCTTTCTGATCATTTTTTTTATTTTTAAGCTTATACATGGATACTTTGTCTATGTGCCAAGTGAATGCAACATATGTTTCAGTAACAAAAAGAGCTGCATACTTGTCTTCTACATTTTGATTGCTGACCTATTATACTTTTAACACCATATATTGGAGTGATGAGTTTCTTCTTTTCTCCCTCTAGTGGTCAGATTTTTGAAAAGGTATTGGTGGAATCTATACAGAAGAGAGGAAACATTTCTGTTTTTTAAAAAAGGGAAGAAAGAAATATTAATAATAATTTGGTGGTGGTGATGCTGGTAGTGATGATCATGAAGATGCTTTTTTACTTCTTTCCTAGGTGTAATAGAGGACTATTTAATGTTGAAGATGTTCTGACAAGCTTTGACAACACGGGAAATGTTTGTAAGTAATTTATTTTTCTTGCCACTAGTTGTGTTAAGGATGAAAATTTTATTTAAACCCTGATATTAAACATGTATCCATATGATTGCCTACAATGTTGATATGATTAAGTGTCGCTTTATTCTGTTCAAAGCACTTAGTTTCTGGTAGTATAAACAAGTAACTCTGTGTAATCCATTTTTAATACTGCAGTCCTATAGGTGAGCATGTGTACATGGGTCTCTGAAATCTTCCCACCCCTAAATTATCAACTCCTTGTGCTGCACTGGAGGATATTTCTGAAGTTGCCCTGTATTTCAGAGACAGTTTGTAAAGTCCTCAGAATGACAGGACTTACAGTCCCTGTTGAACATGTGCAAATAAGTATGTGGTCTTTTGGATTGAGACTTAAATTGCCTGTGTGAATGTACGATACTTTGGACTTTAGACTAAGTCCAAAGACGGACTATAATATCATACACAGTACTGAAGAGTTACTGCCTTTCCAATTAGGATTGAGGGATTTTTAAACTTTTAGTTTTCATTCCTAATCAAGTGGTTACATGCATTGTGCAGCATTGGCTGTAATGTGTTGTTGAGCACAGAATACATTTTTTTCAGCGTAGAAAACCTCTTACCTTCTTGTTAGAAATAGAAGCACTTTGATCTAGACAACTGTCATCAATTCATCCTTCAAGTTGAAAGATGATTTGTCCTTTGTTTCCTTTAGGCCATCTTATGTAGCATCAATTAGGGAAGAAATAGACTTGAATGTTCCTGGGTTTTCTAGTTGAATGTGTTGTCTGTAAATGTGGTGGATTTGCTACTAGCATTGACATAAACCTCAGACTGATGGCTGATACTGGGTTACAGCCCACCAGGCATGATTGCTACTGCTTAATTTCTGTTTCACTGGAATTGAAAACCTGCTCAAATACTCATCAGATGGGGTACAGTGAATAGTTAATAGGTTCTTGCCTTGCTTCCATAAACTTCAAGAAGTTTGAAGGCACATGCCACTCTTTTAGTGTTGAAACTAATCAGGTTTTGCTATACATAGGAGTCTAGTTGGGAACCATATGTGTTTTATCTGACTAAGGATTTTATTTGACATACATTCACTCATGAAAGTATTATTATTTATGTATGTATGATACCAGGTTTAATACAAATAGTTAAGTCTTCAGAGAACAAGACTAAGAATTGCTTTATACAAATACAGTGGTACCTTGACTCACAAACTTAATCTGTTTCAGGACTCTGGTCGTGACCCATATTGGTCGTGACCCAAGTTAAATTTCCCCATAAGGTTCAATGTAAAAAAGGTTAATCCGTTCTGTAACTATTTTTTTAAATCAGAAAAATGTGAAGCAAAGTGACAAAGAACAACAAAGTTCACAGCAATCCCCTCCCACCCTTAGCATGACTGCGGCCATCTACCCAACCCCCCCAGCATGACCACGATTGCACCCATCATCCCTGCACGTGCCTGTCATCCTGGCGCGCTGGGGGGTGGGGGGAGATGGGCGCGATCATGGGTGCGCTGTGGGGAGAGACAGGTGCGAATGTGGGTGCGCTAGTGGGGGAGAGACGGGCATGAACGGGTGCACTCGGGGGAGAGATGGGCACGATCATGCTGGAGGGGGAGATGGCGGAGATTGCATTTGCTGCAGGAAAGACGGGCACAATCCCGGGCACGCTTGTGCAGGAAAGACGGGCGTGATCTTGGCCATCTCCCCTGCCCCCCGCCCCCAGCATGATTGTGGAAATAATAAAAATGTATTAATATGAAAAAGAAGTCAAAAATATTTTGAATGAAAAAATGTAGACCCTTTCATTCCACTATTACTCCTAACTTTACTTATGTAAATCTTTGCTTATGTTTGTCTATAAATGTCAGTGTTTCTTTGGATTATGAAACAAAACATAGCACTCAATAATTCATGCAAAAATAAAAATATATTTCTATAGGCCAGAGTAAAAAAAAAGGTAACATTTTTCTTCCATTGGTGGTAACATGAAATTGTTCTTAAATATACCAATACACCTAAAAAAACCCTCATGAATCTGAGATTACACTTCATTGCACATTGACATTTCAGGGGCAGATAAATGTCAATTTCACAAACTAACTTTTGACCTCAGAGCAACAACAAGAACAACAAATTCTAAAGGATAGGTAATTGTATAGGAAAAATGTTTGGTACAATCCATTCTCAACTTTGAAGCTTTTATCCTGTTTAAATGCCTTGGCTTTTATTATGAAGTCAGTCCAAAAGCTACTTAGAAAATGTGTTTTTGAAGTACTGCCAGGTAGGAAAAGTAATTCACAAATTTGCAGGAGAAAGAGTTCCATGGGATTTGTATATTGCCAAGGGACTAATACCAAGACTGAGTGAAAGAACCATGGGGTGACTGTGCACAATTGCTGATGTCAGCAGAGTGTGAAACTAAAGAACAAAACAATTGTAGGGATTGAGAGCATTGTGGATTAAATGGCAATCTTTATGGCAAATCTATTTATTTTATGAGCCACCCTATAGATGAAGCTTTTGGGACAACATACATAAGAAAGCAAATAGAATAAAACTGATTGATTTATACGGAATATAACTTGTATTGGCAGCTCTGATTGTCATTTTTGGAATAGTTTCTTTTAGTACTTAGTTACAGCAAAACACATGCCTGCCCCTCCCTCTAATGGCACTTGCATCTGAAAATTTAGTAGGGGTCAGGCTCTTAAAAACCTGATCTGTACACAAACCTGTTTGGATGCACAGACATTGCCTCCTTGTCCTGATATTTATATCATTATAGAAGCAATTGCATTATCTTGCTAACAAAGTGAAAGGCTCAGCTGTTTTGGTGTGGCTTAGTACATGTTGCAGCAATATATTTTTCCTTTGTTCAACTCCCAAAGCAGATTTGTGGTAAAGCATCCAGTACAAACGAGGTATTAGTTCAGAATAAGATGTTGCCACTAGTTGGCAGCATTATATTAAATATGAATTAACTTCTTTTAAACAGTGTTTGTAACATTTACCAGCAGTTGCCTGGTGTGTGTGTGTGTGTGTGTGTGTGTGTGTACACACTATGAAAGAAGATGGAAATTGAACTAATCCTGATTGCCAGCAGAGGGGGAACCTGTGAAACTGTGCACCTTGGACTTCTGATATGAACTCTGAAAATGATTACTCTGAGCTTTTTCCTCCAAGAAGCAAACTGAAAAATACAACTGACTGGGAAGTGGAGATACTTTTTTTAAAAGTTGGAAGTTAATATTTTACATTATGTAAAATACAAAGCAAATATGTGACTTTTACAATTAATGCATTTTCTCATTGCAGAAGAGAAAGTAAAACTGTGTCAGTCACACTCCCTCTATTGATGTACATTATATATGAATTTAAAACTGGGATATAAGCCTCTGTATAAAAAGCTAGCAGGTATTTATCAGCTTCTGTCAAATGAAATGGTTAATTGCTAGAATCCACTGTTCTGGCAGACTGTAGTTGTTTTTAGTGGCGATTGTATATAGTCTGTGCTACTTATTTATAATTCTCTTGTAAGGGTTTCAGTTCTTATTGAAATTTTGATAGCTTGAGGAGTAAGGATTTGAGAGTGTGTATCCTGCTGCAGCTCTTATGAGAAGATGGAGAGGATCTGCAACAGCTAAGTACAAAACAGGATTCCCAGCCAAAGTGTTCCTCCTGATAATGGTGAATGTGAACACTATATCATCCCCATTCTTTTACAGCGTGGGGCTAAGTGATGGAGTTCCAAGCTTTTACCAATGCATATGCTTATCTAGTGCTTGCAGGGCTTATATCTGCCAGCAGTGTGCCTGCCAATGATATGTGGAAGAATTGGTTGTGGTGATCTTCATGCTTGACAAGCCCAGTTTACAACTGTTGCCACCTGTATGGTTTAAGACTAGACTTGCTACTGTACTCCCCAGCTGGGTTTTTCCATTTTTAAAAAAGCTTAGCTACAATGCTAAACAAAGGGCAATTTGAGATGTGCACATGCTTAAATGAATTAATATATGTAAATCACCAGTGGCTATCTATATGTAATAAAGAAAAATATGTGTATGTCTTACTGGGAGAGGTGACAGCCATTAGTGTGCTGCTAATGTACCCAAGATAGTTCTAGCTGAAAGAGACTCAGTTATTCAAGTGATCCAGAAGCACATGAAATCATCTTGTTTATTCAGGAAAGGCCATACAGTCTAGTGTATTCGTTTGTGTGCAAAAGTAAATGGTTGACAACATTAACACAATTGGAGATGCTGGAAAGAATAAGAAGTTCAATATTTCTCATATTGGCTAGCATTTCAGAAAGTAGCAGGAAATACATGTATATATAGCTGGGTAAGGGTAGAATGGGGCTCCAGGCTACTCAAGATATTACTTAGGTAATTTCTAGTCTTGAGAATAATGACAAACAATATATTTAAGAGTGCATTACAAACAGTAATGAAATTCACTTGTCTTCTAGTATTTATATGGTACTTTAGAATCCATGTATGTGCACATATGATTTCATTTACACCAACTGTGTAAAGTAGCTTATTCTCATAATTGCACATCATGTGGCCAAAGCTGGAAGAGAGAGGCTTACCTAAGCTGCTGAGGGTGTAATGCTATGCATGTTTAAACAGAAAAAGTCCTATAATTCCCAGTATTCTGAAAGCTTTAGGGTTCTTTTCTGTCCAAACTTGCAGATCATTGTGCTTTAAATGTATTCATTGTGCAGGTGAGATTTAAACCACAAACTTCCTGATTCTATTATCCACTCCCTATACAGATACCAGGTTTTTGTGATGTCTATTAGCAATTTTATTTGGTAGTCCACAAATACTGAACGGACTATTATTATTTCAGAACAGACTAAATAGCTGCTCTTTACCAATAGACGTGAAAGGATAGAAGAGGAAGGCAAAGGTGAGAGAGTGAGGAAATAGTCAATGTAACCAAATAAACAATTTGTATGAAATACTTCTGAAGTTGGTCTTAACC